TATTTTATTGTTCACATTACAGTTTTAAATACCCCCTTTTGTCTTGTTCTCTGTCCTTCCACCATCTTTTTTCTCAGGTTCATCCTAAAGACTTGAATAATGGCATCATAAATGCAGCATTCATGCTTCTCTTTAAGGATCTGATAAAACTCTTCGCCTCCTACAATGACGGCATCATCAATTTATTAGGTATGTGATAACTTGTTTTCGATCTCAACTAGATTACATCGTTATATTGTAATATATTTTAATATTTTAAACATCTATTTTGTCCCCTGAAAATGGGTCTATTTTTAATTATACAGAGAAATATTTCAAAATGAAGAAGTCTGAGTGCAAGGATTCTCTGGACATTTATAAGAAATTTCTGACCCGGGTGACCAAAATTGCAGAGTTCATGAAAATTGCTGAGGTAAGGTCAGAAGCAGAGATACTTTCAAGTCAAATATTTGGATAGAATGTCAATTCACTGTATTTTTATTGTGTTTCTGTTGCAGCAAGTAGGAGTGGATAAGAATGACATCCCTGACATCTCTTATGTAAGTCAGCCTTTTGAAACAAACATTTGTTCTTTCATGCTGGTAATGTCACTAGCTCTTAATTAATATTAGAATCAGGTCAAGTATTGATTTCTTGATGTCAATGACTTCTAAAACATTATAGCATGGGAAGAGTCTATCAACCTTTTAAAATAATTAAGTAAAGCTGGTGTGAGTTTCAAAGAGCTTTTCATCCATCCTAACCAAGAGTCATTATCAAAACGCCTTCCCGTGGGATTCCCAGTGTTTGCACCCCCGCGTAGTTGCAGACCTGGCAGATTCAGACAATGAAGACTGTCCCTTTAAAGACTGCCACAACGAGGAGCCGGTAACCATGGCGACTGATGTGGGACGCAATATGCATCTCAGTGTATTGCTTTTACCTGCTTGTACAGAAGCCCTTCCTGACTGGGCTAGTCACAAAACACTAGTTTTTAACATTATGCGGTTACTGGAAGCTTTAAAGCAATAATAAGAACTCATATAAGATACTGTTGTCTTCTGTGGAGCTGCTTTATAGCTGAAATCAAAGAATTTTGCAACATTAACACTGTTATTTTCCTGCTTTAAGCTGCTTTGAAGCAATCTGTATTGTATGAAGTGACATTTTTGACTTGAATTTCTCTCCAAGACCGAGAGGTCACATCATAATTAGCCTTTTGTTCAGAAGCTGAGAAAAGCAATGCACTGAAGTCCAGTTCTGTCCCACAGTTTGTACTTTGAGCTGATTTTGCGGTGCTGTGAGGAGTGCTTTGGGTAAAGATTTTCACCGGGTTTTGATGTGGTGTTTTATTGTTTGAATTTGCTGTGGAGATATCAAAATCAAAAATGCCCTGATGCCATGATTTTTGTACGGTCTTCACACTGCTTTCCTTTTCTCATCATATGCGTGTGTGTGTGTGTGTGTGTGTGTGTGTGTTTTTTATTCTGCTGTCCTCAGGCTCCCAGCAGTATTCTGGAGTCTCTAGAGGCACATATGAACAGTCTAGAGGGCAAGAAAGGGTACGAGATCCCTGAACTCATTATAAATCACTTTAAATGTCAGAGGGGAAGTAACTCTGCACTTGTAAATCAAATGTTGCATGCTAAATTTGAAAGAGAAACTTGAGAAAGGCACATAGCCATGGCTTGTCTCTGCAGTTATTATATTGTAAGTCTCTTTGAATAATAAATATAAAGCCTATAAATATTAATCCTAATTTATGTTCTTTTCCTCCTCCCACAATGGTTTGTTCAGGGAAGGGTGAGTATGTTTTAAGTAATCTCAGACATTTCATCAGTCATATTGTTTTTAAATAAAATCATCTGTTCACTTCTATCTCATTGTCTCTGCTTGTGTCCTTCAGGTCACCCACAAAAGTAAGCGGGAATTTTTATGGTCTTATTTTTTATAGATATCACACACATGTGCTCAATATGTTGCTCTGTGTTATGTTTTAGGGATCACCCACCAATAATGTGTCTCCAACCTCCACCCCCGCCAAATCAGCCGCTGCCGTCCCCACTTTAGAGCCGCCGCGTGCTGAGGCCGCACCTGCTGCCGCCGAAACTGCCACAGAGTGAGTGACCCAAATAACCAGACTTCACTTCCTGTCTGATTAAATGCTAATCAGAACAACAGATAATATCTGAATGTGCAGCTTTCATAAGTGTTTGTCTGCTCACCGTAGTTCTCTGCTGGATCTGGACCCTTTGTCTTCCTCTGGACCTTCTACAGGAGCATCAGCTGCTCCCACATCTTGGGGAGGTACAATCCAAACACTTACACACTTTGCAGCTCGAACCAGTGTTGTTATTGTTATCTAAAGATAGAACTATTAAACGTTTTAGTTAATTAAGCTGAAAAAAATAAAATATAAACATTCAGAAAACTTAAACTAAATGTAAATGAATAAAACTGCCTTGACATATTAAAATTACTAACTGACAACTAAAACTGAAATGAAACAAAAAAAATAAATTAAAAATATTTAGACATTTTTAACAAACAAACACTAATAAAAATGTCATAAATTACTACAAGTTAAATTAAAATAAAATTTGAATTAAATAAAATGAAAATAAATACAAAAATTTAAATAAAAACACATTTAAAATATTACTAAAAACTAGAGTAATATATAAATAATACTAAAATAGCATTGGCCCAAATCTGTGAATTTCGAGGCCAAACCCAACACAAACCCAAAAACGCTAATTTATAAAAAGAATTTTTTTTTGTGTAAACTCCGATACATGGCTTTGCTGCGGTCTAACTCAAAGATGTTGAAGTATATGTGCCAGCATGCTTAAATTGGGTTACTTTAATATGAAACCATAAAATATTTATAATAATAATTTATCTTATGAACATGAAACAGCATTCACAACCGATTTCACTTCCATAATGTGACATATTTTAAAGTGAAACGGGTCATCCAGCAAGAAAAAACTGACTAGATTTATCTATTGGACTGATTAAATAATGAAAGTAGTCTCAATGACATCAGCCATACAGAAAACTGCATTACAATTAGGTAAAAATTATGATTACATTTGCAATCATATGCACCAGTAAATTATTCACCGTTTTGTAAAAGTATATTAGATCTCATTTAATTTCACATTGATCCATTACAAAACCAAACTTGCCACAGACCCAAAGTAATGTGAAAAACTGACCTCGGTAGCAGACCTTTAACTCACAAACTTCCTAAATTTAAGCATCCGTTTTATATTCCTCATTACAAACTCTTAATGACCTAATTTGAAATATCTTTTTCTTTCTCTGTCATGGGCTGCTATCACATCAGATCTGCTGGGCTCAGGTAAGAGCTATTAACCTTTCATTTTATGTTAAATAAGTGTTTTCATCTAATTTGATGTGTTAAATGTCTCATTCACTTTATTAAGCATTTTAAACGTTTGTTATAGCCCATCTGGAGAATTGAAATTAGAGTATGACAGAGTATGACAAACCTAGTCTCCTAAAGCCCATTTAACATCTTTGTGTCAATCCCTCAGTCTTTGCTCAGTAGAATCTCTTTCTCTCTCTCTTTTGCTCTTACCCTCTTCTTTGGTTCCTTTCCTGGTTATCTGTTGATTTACGGTGTGTTTATATTGGTCCGCTGGGGGCGTGGCTATGCAGAAATAGGCTCCCTTACTACAGAGACTCTCCTTCCTGACCCAACCCCTGCTGTAGACTCCAGCTCCTCAGCCACGCCCACCACCACAGCCGCTGAGGCAGCCGTTTCTTTGGCTCCTCCTCCTTCCGCTGCCGGTGCTTCCTCCGGCTCAGCGGATCTCCTCGGAGGTCAGTAGTGAGGTTTCTTCCTTACGAAGAGTTTTCTGGGGGAAAAGGCTGTGCCACATTCTGAAACAGAGGAAGAAAATCAAAGATTAGATCGAAATCACAGTTTGTGCTTCATTTGTGAAGTCTGTAGTCACCATTGCTCCTCCATTTGTGTCCGTAGTAGAAATCTAGAGCTTCTCATTTCCCTTTCTACTTTTTATCTTCCATGCTACACTTCTGCAGTTTGCATTTGACATTCATTGTACATTCACATACACTGAATGAATTTGTATAATTTGATTATTCTTATGTGTACATTTGCAGACTGCACAGTAAGATTAATCAGGTTTTCATTAGTTTTAAATTCAGCAACTACAAATAGGTTTAAAGTCAAATTGAAATTTGACCCATTTTATTTTCCTAGGGTAAAATGGGTATTTTTCATATATCATTATTACTATTATTATTATAAGTGTGCAAGACATAAGCTGTGTACCAATTCAGGGGCTGCATCCTTAGACGGACCACCAATATGTTTACCTTGGTCCGTTTATGTACATAATAAAAGTGTAAACTGCCTTTAAAATCGCATCTTGGTAAGTTCCACATTTGAACCACTTTAAAGTGTCACATTTGTGACATTAGATAATCGAGCAAGTTGAAACTCAATACTTATTTAAGTGTAGCTCTCTATTAAAAAATTATCCTGTCATCAACAGCACGAAAAGAATCTTGGGATAGTCTGTGCTATCTGTCTGTGCTATATCGTGGCCTGGGAAATGAAGGGCGGATTTCCAAGGCCACATTTATAGAAGTCTACGAAATGGGACAGTCTTCGCCACACTGCTATGGCACATTCAGTCTTGGCATGCACCCTTTGAAGGATGTAGCCCATGAATTGGGATACAGCTTTAGTTTTAAATATTTTAAATGCAAAACATCTTTTCAATCAAACTCTGCATGACACTGAATCTATTGTTTCTCTCTCTTTCTCTACACTATCTACTATTTCCACTTCTTCCTTTCCTCCTTTTCTTTGGCTATTATACACCAACCCTTTGGCCCTGATGCACGCTACTCCAGATGTATTTGCGGCCCCTGCGGCTGAAACAGCTGCTGCTACAGAAGGTGGGGCCGCAGCAACCATGCCCACCCCTGCTGCCGACGGCACCGCGCCAACCGGTGGGTGACAACGGTTTACGTGCATATATGTGTATGTGAGAATGTCAGCACATGACGGGTGAGAGAGTGCGTGTACTTGCTTCTGAATGTTTCATTTACCGGTCTGAAGAACCTCACAGAGCCTCTTACGCAGGCTCTGCTCCTAATGAAGCCTCCTCTGGTCAGTGTTGAGTTTTCTGGATTGGCATCGGCGTTGCCATGGAGATTGCTATCTGTGTTGCTAGGGCGATAGTCTTTGAACATTGAAGTTCTGTTCTCCAGGAGCCACAAGCAGATGTCGACTTGTTAAATGTGCAACAAAACCCTCTCCAACTTCCACTTTCTTTTTCATTCTTCCTTCTCTGAAATTTCATCCTCAGGACAACTGTATATAAGTCTTTCAGAGCCTGGAAGATGTTTTTAAACGCTCATCCTCTTCTCCCGGTAGATCCATTCACTCCAGCGGCTGGTACTGCTGATAACTCCCATCAGTTGGACCTGTTCTCTATGCAGCCAGTAGATGACAGTAACTCTCTCTTTAGCTCAGTGGCACCCAACACTGTCCAGGCGTCTGTCTCCACAACCACCAGCACTGTAGCCCCCGCTGCTTCCCCAGCCCCAACGATAGACCTGTTTGCTGGTAAACCTCTTTAGGCCAGAGATTTGGCAAGACACCTTATTAAAATCTGGACTGGAATTATTTTCCTTTCCTGTTGTTTTTCAGCAAGTGCTTTTAATGGAAGGTCCACCCAAGAATGACAATTATGTCATGATTTACTACCCGTCCTCATATTGTTTAAAAATTGTATGACTTTCCTTGTATGACTCTGTGGAATGTAAAAGATACTCTGAAAAATGTTGGCGACCAAAGTTTCGGTACCCATTGACTTCCATAATATGCAGAAAAAATGGAAGTCAGTGGGAACAGAATATCGTACTTTTTATGTTCAGTAGGAGACAGAAATGCATGCAGGAACAACATGAGGCTGAGTTAATGACAGTTTTCATTTTTGGGTGGACTGTCCCTTAAAAGGGAACAGTTAAAACTATTTGAATAAAACTTTTGCACTTTAAGGAAGATATTTGTTCCAGTGTAAAGCATGAATTCACATTTCCATGTGGCCATGGTACTGGAACTTTTATAAGGTATCTTTAAGTTTGTTTTTTTTTGGTCTTTTGGTATTCTATATTTTCATTTGTTTGGTTTGTGTTGTGTATTAATATTATTTATGTTTATGTCTATAAATGTTGTCTTGTTTTTAGGTTTTTTTGATCCCATGCCAGACTCATCTGTTCCCAAAACAGACCCAAACCCCAGTCTAGACCTGTTTTCAGCAGGTACACGCTACAGTAAATCCATCCACTCGTTCCATGCCTCGCTTGTGCTTTGTTTTTTTCTCTATTCTGTCCTTGACTGCTCAAGGTGAGCCAAATATGCTTCTCTCCCGGGGCAGCCGAAGGAACTGTCCATCCGACAAACTAATTTCTTTCAGTCCCTTAGGCCTTCATTCATTTCTTAATCATTCCAAATCTTCCCGTCTATGTTTCTCTTGAAACATCTCCAAGAGCCATTAGTTACATTATCCCCACTTATAAACCTTTCTATTTTAGCTTTTTCCCTTTGGCTTTATCTCACAAACATGTCTTCATCTATGAAGTAAACAGGCTCTGGTTTTGACCTAAAACTAATGCTTTTACGGGTCCTGGTTTACATAGTTGCATAGTTACTCTTCAAATAATGGATGTTAAACAAGCAGGACTTCAGGTGTCAACTAAACCCGTTCCTGTGCTCCAGATGTGTTTCGTCCTCCTGCCGCTGCTCTATCGGCCCCCATGAGCTGGCCAGACAGCGGAGCAAATCTGGACCTGTTTGGGGGTTGGTAACTACCCAGTGTGCATGTTGGGGGTTTGATTTGCATGTCTTGACCAGATGGTTGCTGTGGATTCTGTTAAAAGCTGATGGTTGATGGACCAGGAGATTTCCTTTGCTGACCAGTCAAAAGGCTTTAATGAGGTGTATGTGTGTGCTCTTGTGTGAGTTTGTTTCTATTTCTGGCTTTTATTTATGTGTGATAACACTCTCTCTCTCTCTTTCTCTCTGGGGTTATTTCTCAGAGTAATGGCTTTGGCTCACTTTAAACTTTTTTACCCTCATGCTGCGTGGATGGATCAGAATCTGCGGGCGCTGGAGAGGCCAAACCAGCCGCAGCAGCTGCCGGAGGAGATCTGATGTCAGGTACATCACCTGCAGCACTCGTGACTTCTTTCCTTTTTCTTCATGTCATTTTCATTGCACTCTCAGAACAAAAGGTACATCTTTGTACCATACTTACTCCTAATTGGGTACCTCAAAGGTACATGTTAGTACCTTTTGAAAGGTTTGGTACCTTTTTTTCTGAGAGTGTGCAGCCAAATTTTTGTCTGGTGTTCAAAACAGTCATGGTTACAGTCATCATAGCCCATAGCATGGAAACTGTAGCACTGTTACATACCCTTAGGAAAGACAAATCACAAATGAGGTCTCAGTAGTTTCTCACTGAAAGCTGTGAGATTAGATGGAGAACAAATGGAGACTTGTGCTTTAAGTCAGAAAGGAATAGAAATTGTTAAAGATCTTATTGTTATAGATCTTATCTTATTTCTAACAGTTTGTTAGTGTTTCATGAAATTTTTTTTTAACTAATCAAAATGTCATGACTAGACAGTGTTTTCTGTGGTGATGTCCAATCATATAGTCTGCTTAAGCTCCACTCCTGCAAGATCACATTCATCTGACACACATCTCACATCTCAACATCCAATCAACAACCGATGAATAGAACCACGTCCCTGCCCAACTACTTTTTTCCAGATAATCCATTGCAGCCTGATGTACATAACATTATGGAAGAAAATATCTGTCACTATGACTTAATCTCCTTATCCAGTTTTGTTCTGAAAAATGACCTTCGTAATCAAGAGATCTCAATCTCTGCTTAGATTTGCCAAGATACTCAAGTCTCCAATATATAGATAATACTCACGTTTGTCCAATAAAACATAACTGAGAAGTCAAATTAATCTTTTTTTTTTTTCATTTTTATAAACATTTTTTCTGGGTATATGTCACTTTTACATAGCAGAGACGTGTTTGATGTTCAGTGATTGTGTGCGTGTGCCATTGTGGCATATTGAGTCTAGACACGTTACATCTCAGTTGTGTGGTGGTATTGATGTGTTGAGATGAGATCCGTTTTGTTTCCATCTGTTTCTCTCATGCGTTTCGTTTACATTCATCTCTGCTCTACATTCATGGACTGAGAAAGTCTTCTTCCCAATGCCTTGCTGCTTAATTCTGCTCTCTTTTCTCTCATTCACTCTCACTCTTTTGTGCTCATCTGATCTGTATCTTCCGCTTCTTCATCCTGATCATGTTCTTCTTCCATTTCTCCTTCCAATGTTTCAAATTCCCTCTCTTTATCATTTCTTCATTTTCCCTCTCTTTCCCTTCATCTGGCTCTTGGGTCATTGCTTGCTTCCTCCTGTGCTACTGGTGAGTTCTGATGCTCCTACACCAGCTGCAATCCCACAATGCATTGCTGCATTGCAGAATAGGGCTTTAGTGAATTCAACTGAAAGACTGCTAGCCAAACTATGAAGATTACAAGATGGGTGGATGAATGAATGGATGTTTGGATGCTTTACAAAGATCTCTAGAGTGACATTCTGTGCAACAACATGTAGAAACTAATAGTAGAAAAGTACATCATGCGAATATTGTTGTCTTTGACTTGTTTCACAACATATGCATAAGCAGTAGCTCGTATTCATTTCAGTGCCCATATTAAACGGTTATAGGATTCACACTGCACATGTAAGCACTGCAGACTATTCTGATGAACTTAGTGTCCTGAATTTAGCAGAAAATATGTTGAAAATGCACTAAATATATATATAGGCTTTTATGAAGGAGCATAAAATAGTGGAGGAAATTACTCACCCTTTGTTACAGGAAAAAAGATGCCTGTCAGGCTCGATTATACATGCAGCAACACGCAAATAGCATTTCCATTCAGTTAATCTGACTTAATCCAGATGATTTAACCCACTGTAATTCCACTCGCTTAACTTTAGGGGCTCCAAAGTTGTGTGTTTTAATAATTAATAGATGTAAATTCGTTTGGGTGTAAACTGTGATCCTCCTCTTCTCACAGGCCAGTATTTAAAGAAATAGTGTTGTTTTAGTATTATTGTGTACTAATATAGTTTTTAATTAATATTTTGAATTAGCTTTTTTATTTCCATATTTTTATTTGAATTTTATTTTTTGTAATTTGTAATGTGCTTTTGTCATTTTTATTATTCTTTTGTATAATATTTCCATTTATTATATATTTATATATATATTTTATATTTTTATATTAAATGTTACTATTTAGGTTTACTTTTATTTCAGTTTTAGTTTTAATTTCCAGCTATTTGCCAAGGCAAAGTTTAGTTGAACTTTTTCATCTAATATTTATATTTTATTTTAGCTTTATTACAGTTAACAAAAACATTTTAATAGTTAACCTTAAAAACCCAGTGTAGTAACTCAGAAATCATGTTATTTTCAGTATTTAGCTGCAGTTTGTGGTGTCAATATAAAAGCACAAAGCAAGTCTTTTGGTAGTAGTATGTTCTGCTTATCCGTGCTGTGTGAAACAAGTCTTATACTTTAAATGATGATAGTAATGTTAAATGTTATGTTGAAATTAATGTTTAATGTTTCATGGCTTTGTGTGACTGTAGTTGATGATAGCGCTCAGCTCTCTTTCTTACTGCTCTCATCTTTTAGATTTTTCTTGTACTGGTTGCCATAGAGATACGCACTGTATAATGGTTGTTAGTGTTCAGTTAAGCTCCCTTTTTT